GTGTTTATGTACCCTGCTAATTGTGTAGCACCATTCTGGCATGTTTTATATTTTTTACTAATTTTCTGCCTCCTTCTGCTAGAATGTAGGATTCATGAAAGCAGGGGCAATGTATGTATATTTTTGTCTCCCCTTGTTATATCTTCAGCACCTAGAGCAGTGCTTGGCTCAGTAAATAGTTGTTGAATTGAGTATATGAAAAGTCCTTGCATGCTTGTCTGATTACCTAAGAAAGAGTAACTCTTTTACCTTTCTTAGAGAAATGCTCACATTGTATTGTTTTTAAATAATCAGTGGCAAGGTTAGTAGTAATAGTATAGTAATAGAATTTTCATTTTTTAATTGCTTAACTGATAACAGGTTACTGGTTAACTGCAACTTAGCTTTTGTATCTCCTTGTCATAGAAGATATCTTAGGAAGAGAGTATGTGAGAGGCCTTTTTATTAATAAACATTTTACTGTTCCACAAAAAATTTTAAGGTGTTTTTGTTTTGTTTTGCCAAAATATGTTCTTATGGAAAACTTAGAGGTTATCCAGTGATTCAATAGGATATTTTTGATTGTGGTTAGTAGAAAATTTGATTCAAAGTATCTTAAACATTAAGAAAATATACTAACTAATGTAACTGAAAGTCTAGTATTAGATGGCTTGTCAGTTATATTCTTGGCAAGAAACAGATGGCATACTCAACCTACGTTTTTGAGAAGAGTTTAATGCAAGGGTATTTAAAAAGTTGTAATCAGGGAGCTTGGCAAGATTTGAAGAGATGAGGGAAATAAGTGTTTAGTATAACCCAAAGAGAAAGTTGTTGTAGCTGTTAGGAGAAGGGTACCTGATGGGAGTGTGGTCTTCAAGAAAGGAGTATAGTGTAAGTGTACTGAAGGGGTAAAATCTGGAAAATATATACCCAAATTCATTTTCTTTCTGTCCTTTAGTTTCTTGGTAATGTCTTCAATTAGTCAAACCCAACTAGAAACCAGTAGGCAATAGAGCATCCCAAGCATGAGAATAGGACAGGGAATATTGGAAAGGCAGCAAAAGGTTGGAAAAGCAGCAAACAGTAAGCTGTCTTTCAGGGCTGGGTTATCTGGGTCTCAATAATGTCATCAGAGACCCAGGTTTTGTCTGTATCTCTACTGTACCAGCTACAGTGTTGATTTTATGCTAAAGTCGATACTGTTTGAGGTCACAATGCTGCCAGAGAGAATTGGTGCTGTATGCCTTCACATCCAGGTAAAGAAAGTGAGCTCCTTTCTGTCAATTGAGCAAGTTTCTTCTCTCCAATTTGATTGGTTAGCTTAGAGCTTGGCTGGCCTACCATCGAACCAGTTGTTGCTATGAGAATGCTAAACTTTGATACCGAGTCTCTGAGCTAATCATTGCTTGCTACCCTCCCTTATCACTCCCTACCAAAACAACAACAAATGAATAATCTGGTTGGATTAGGCTATTTGGAGCAAAACCTTGAAGTCCTGGGAGGAGCAGAATGGATAATAGACTACTTTATGATGTACCTCTAAAATTACAATAGTTTTACACAATTTATTGAATATATACTCATTCACATTATATGTATATGTGTGTGTATGTATAATGGTTTCTACAATAAAAATGAACGTTTCTGATAACCTGTTCCGTTATGGGCTAATCTAAATGTTGGAACAATCTCTCTTTATTGAATAGAAGTTTCTCTTTGTAACCTCCAGTGCTCCTATTTGGTTTAGTTAATTCTGGAGTGGATACTATAATGCAGCAATTTTATAACTTCTCAGATATTATTTCTAAATATGGTTTGCCATATTACATATAGTACTTCTTAAAAATTGTGTGTTCTGCCACCACATAAAAGTAATATATGGATCAAATTCCAGAGCTTACATTTTCTATGAGATTTAAATTGTATTTCCATCTAAAAGTTACAGATTTATAACTATAAATTATCCAAGTATAGATCTCCTTTTAAAATAGCTTTACTTGAGAAAATGAATACAAATACCAAAATATAAAAATATTTTAAAACTGTTAATCAAAGGAAATACATTTAAAAGCAGAGTTAGAGATCTTCTTTCTTCTTTTCCCAGGCTGTGTTTTTTCCTACCTATTCTGTTCTTACTCTGTTTTTGAATATGACATTAATTCAGTTAAATGTTTCCTGAGAAATTAGGGTAGGGATCAGGAGGAAAAAAGATGAATAAGATAATATCTTTCTTGTATTAGGAAAGAGATTTTTTTTTTACACTAACAGTAATACAAGGAAGAAGAAATAAGTACTACTAAGAGGTAAAGGTAACATGCGGTTGAAGAGAATATTCATTTATACATTTATATACTATTTACAATCCAGAATAGTAGGATTATGACTAGGGAAATTAAAAGACACAATTTTAGAAAAATATTTTCTGAAGAATAATTTTAGAATGCAAATCTGCTACCCAACAGCATTAATTGGTATGCAAAAACAACAGGCTTTTTTTTTTTTTTTTAAAGTAATGTGGAAGGCCTTGTGTTGCTTCTAGTATATCTTTTAATATCATGGTCCAAGTTCCAAACTTGTTTTTATATTATGAATTCATCAAGTGGATATGTTTATAATGGTCAGCCTGATTTTATAATACAGGTTAATGTTCTTTATAAGGACATGATGAATAATTTTTATGAGCTACAGTCTGGTCACATAGCATGTTTAGTAACAGGATATGACTGTATTCTGTTTTAGAGTTTTACGTGTAAGAGTAGAATGTATCAGATCATATTCTTGAAATCATTACTACTGAATAAAAATAGAATGTATAAGATAAGCTATGTGAAATTGTAATTAGTGAAGGAGCTGGCTACAGTTTTAAGTAACTAGTGATCTCTTATTTTAATTTCATTCCCTTACAAAGTACTATATTATTTTCATTGATATTCCTTTAAATATGATTACCTGCTCTTTACTTTTTAAACTCAAATGTTTGTTTTGGTTCCCCTCCTTTATTAACTCAGCTGTTTATTTAGATCATTTCCACCATCTTTTGTAAAATTTTCATTGAAAATTATGTACTAAATTTTGATTTGAATTTCATTGAAAATTATGTACTAAGTCTTGATTTGAATTTTGTAGGTTATTGCTTATGTAAGCACCATTGGTAATTTTGTCAGACACATTATTATATTAGTGTGAGATCATTTTTAACCTTGTAATAATTTGAACCAATTAAATGCCCCCTTCTTAGTAAAACCTGTTAACCATCCTTCTACAAATGTTTTATCTGCACCATAGTTTCTTCCATGAACTTAGTAACCTCTAACATGTTACATATTTTTCCTTTTTATTTTATTTACTATGTGTTCCTGCCTTATCATCTCTTAGAATATGTTCTGTGAGGCAGAGTTTTTTCAATTTTGTTAGCTGCTTTTTTGACAATGCCAGGGAGCGTACTTGACTAATAGTGAGTAATCAACATGTATATTTTCTAAATGACTAAAAGTCTTAAGCTCTACCTTTAAGGTAAAGGAAATGTAGGCAGAGGTGTTACAAACTGGGGGAGCAAGATGGTAAAGGAGGGGAAGTAAACGTGTCCTGTGGGTGAAATTGGCCCACAGGAATATCTGTAGGACTCAACAAAGAGGTTTAGTTTTGGTCTTCACCACTCTTTACTGTCTCCTACTCTAGTTTACACATTGTTGTTAGCTATTTGCGATCATTTCAGTTTGTGACCTTTTATGTGGAAGTGTGAAAATTCATGATGTGCTTAAGTCAAATTTATTGAGTTGTCCTTATTATGAACATGAGAAATGTAACTAAATCATATGGGAGGTAAACTTGGTAAGACGATTTCATCCCTTTTAAACTTAGATCATCTTAAACTGATATTCAGACTTCAGTCAGTGAAGAAAAGGGAGGAAAGATGTGTGTGATGTGTGCTTTAGGACTCAGTGGTAGGTGATTCTTTATCCTATGATTGAAAGGATAGTGATACTACACAATAGTATCACTAGATGAGGAAGAAAAGATTTGTGTAGGAAGATGTATTTTTTGATGTTTGAGTTTGAATTATCAGTTTTAATAAAAAGCATTTTTTAATATTATAGCAATTTTATCTGAAATTGTATTCTAGGATAGCATTGTCCAATTAAAATACAATTCAAGCCTCAGGTGCAATTTAATATTTTCTAGTAAAAAATTGCAGGTGGTATTAATTTTAATAATGTATATAGCCTAGTGTTTTATTTTGATAATATGCAAAATATTATTTCAACATCTATTCAATAAGAAAATACGATTTTTAAAAATATTCTGAGCTGGAAAAACCCAGTTTTTTTCATACTTACAATGCATCTCACTTTCAATTGCAACATTCCAGCAGCTCAACTGCCACATAGGGCTTCTGGCTACTATATGAGATGGTTAAGCTTTAAGGTTTGGTTTCAATTTTGGAGAGTCTGTTGTTTAAATACGGTTGGTAATAGGTACATGGTGATAGCCATTGAAAATTCTTGAAGCGAGTACTCAGCATAGACATAGTGTTATATGAAGCTATGAAAGCATATGTCATCCAAAGAGAGGGTATTTATGGGAGAAGAGAAGATCAAGGAAATAATATTTTAAGAAGTATTTTACATATTTTAAGCTGTATTTTTACATATTTTAAACACTATCACTTTTTATTTCTATGTCTAAGATCTCTTCTTGTATGTCAATTTCTATAAAAAATGAAATGAAGACGTTTACAATATTTCATTTCCTTAGCTTTATCTAATAGTAGCATTATTTAACTTGAATTATTTATCTATAATTGTCTTAGATTGGACTTCAAATAACAAGCTATCACTCAAAGAAATAGCTAAAATTTCAGATATCTTAAAAAATTATATTTTCGTGGCAAAGAAAATATAAATGTTTATTTCATATTAGGGATAGCATATGAAAAATTCATGTGTGCTTATACTAAGTCAGAAATTACACAATTTGATATTCTGGATATTTCAAGCTAGAATTTCTGTTTTCTTTCTTAGTCATCAAGAGTTCATATAACTAGAGCTGTCCTGGAGCAATTTTTATCTTTTGCAAAATACCTTGATGGTTTATCTCATGGAGCACCTTTACTGAAGCAGCTTTGTGATCACATTTTATTTAACCCAGCCATCTGGATACATACACCTGCAAAGGTATGAATTTTATACTTACTCAGTTTGTTTTAGTGCAATGTTATACATTATAGTTGCTGGATCTAAAGTATCCAGTGGAAAACATTTAAACATTTTAGCTTATTTTATAGTTAATCTGCGGCAATTGTGTTAGGCAGTATCAGGAGATCAAAATATTTATAAGTAGTAAAATAAATGAAACGATAGGTAAAAAATAATCTTTGTGTAACATTGCATTCTAACATCTTTAGATGTGATACATACTTTTCCAATGAAGAGAATTAGCTATACCAATTTTTGAAAGACGAGGAAAGAGAACGGAGAACTAATTGTAATATGACTGTAATCATTTTGCTGGAAAATTGCTTTCATTTTGAAGGCAGAATTTATATCATGACATGTAAATAATTCTAATTTAAAAATAAATATATACATGAAATAAGTATTTTTCCAGATAATAACAGAAAATTCTTATTATTTTATATACAAGGATTTAGTCCTAGTTGAAGTCAATAATGAGGGATTCTTTGATTTTGAGCTATCTTTTACAGTTTAAAAATATCTCACCAAGTTACTAATTATTGCCTAAGCCCAAATCTGAATTTTGAGAACTCTTCTAAGCAAGATGTCTGACATTCCATCTCTATGCTCACATGGTCAGATTGTGAAAGCGAACTATGTATTATGGCCATAGGTGAGGATAATTTGAAATTGCATGAACTTTTAGGATATATGACAAAAATATATATGTTTTCAGATATGCTTTAGCTGACTGATGTTCTGTTGGTATGAAGAAATTTATACACTGAAAGCTACTGAAATGTATTTTAAGAGCTTTAGTTGACTTTTAAAATATTTTAATCTTTTATCAGATTAATTTCAATAAATTATTAAATCATTTTAAAATTATTTAACTGCCACAGCTATTAGGCTACCTTTATTATAATAAGTTTATTAGAATATGTTAATTGCAGATTATATATTTTTAAATATAAATAATATCGAAGAAGAAAGTTATTTTTAACCTCATAAAAAATGGTCATCTCTTGACCTTTACTAATTCGCATTTAAATTAAAACTGAATGTATATTTATAATATAAGCACTTGAGGCATTTTAAATTCATTTTGATGATTTGTTAATATTCTGTATTAGGTTCAACTTTCCCTGTACACATATTTGTCTGCTGAATTTATTGGAACTGCTACCATCTACACCACCATACGCAGAGTAGGAACAGTATTACAGCTAATGCACACCTTAAAATATTACTACTGGGTTATTAATCCTGCTGACAGTAGTGGCATTACACCTAAAGGATTAGGTATGTATAACACTTCCTCTGTATTTACATTTGCCTATGATTATTCTGTATTCTGAGTACTGTTACAGTGAGCAGTGTACATGACTGTGAAATCACTGAAATGTTTTCTTTCTTATGTAGCAAACTGGCATATTGAGAATGGTTTGTGATAAAGAAGTTTAGGGCTTTTCAATATTAAATTATTTTGGAATAAGATGAAAAGCAACAGTATTATTTTAGCCTATATGCTTTTTTTCATTCAGGAAAATACTTCATAATATTAAAAACAGATAAATCATATTGGTTATAACTGGTGTGTTCTAATACATCAGTTTCTTTCAACATTTTCAGATTGCTACTTTTAAAAATTTCTTTTTTCCAAATTTATCCTTTGTTCTGACTATAGTGGAAACTAATTTAGTTCTTCACCGTGATTTCTTTTTTGTTTTGAAAATATGGCCAGTTTTTCTAATTATACAAAAATATAGAAAATAAAATAATACAGAAGAAAAAATATATTTATGACCCAAACCCCAAGAATAATTACTGATATGATTTTGTTATGTTTTCTTCCAGTGTTTCTCATTGCATACATATATGAAAATATTTAAACTTTATAATTATAGATTGAGATTTTCTCAATTTTTCTATCTTGTTCTTTTCTCAGCTTAATGTAGTAATGTAAGGGGATGTACCATTTACATTGTTTCTAAAGTTTTGATTCTATAAATATTAGAGAATTCTCTCATTTATATATGTGTTTACGTCCATCTTTGATTTGTTTAAAATTACTGAGAAAGGGGCTAATGACAAATATTTTAAATTTTTTTCAGGAATGTCATATTATTTTACAGTTTTGCCAGTAGTATGTTACAGTACTTCCTTTTGCGTGCTCACAATAGCATTGAATATTATAGTTTTATAATAATCCTGTTGATAAGGAAAAATAGCACTTTCCAATTTTTTTCTTTTTTCTTTTTTTTGAGACAGAGTCTTGCTCTGTCACCCAGGCTGGAGTGCAGGGGCTAAAGTGTGTTTCCTGTAAGCAGCATATATTTGGATCGTGTTTCTTTTTTTTTTTTTTGAAACGGAGTCTTGCTCTGTCACCCAGGCTGGAGTGCAGTGGCGCAGTCTCGGCTCAATGCAAGCTCCACCTCCTGGGTTCATGCCATTCTCCTGCCTCAGCCTCCTGAGTAGCTGGGACTACAGGCGCCCACCACCGTGCCCCGCTAATTTTTTTTATATTTTTAGTAGAGATGGGATTTCATCGTGTTAGGCAGGATGGTCTCGATCTCCTGACCTCGTGATCCGCCCAACTCGGCCTCCCATTTTACTATTTTAATATTTATATAAGCTTACTTTTATAATGTCTTTTTATTTTATTAATGGGGCTTTAGAAGTTAATTATACTCAGATCTGCTATTTTGTCCTTTTGTGGCTTCTTCCATTGCTTTTAAGTTGGTAATGCCTAAAATTTATTAGATTTTTCTGCCAAACACTCTACATATTAATTTAATAATATATATAGTAATTATAGACATATCCATATACATACATAAGACTGCATCTATATATAACTTTTTTTTGATATCATCCTCATTTTAAAGATTAGGAAACTGAAAGTTGATACAAACCCACCAGCACCAAAATTTGAATCATATCCATCTGACTCAGAGACCTAGTTCTTAAATGCTACACTATGATAGCATTTGCTCTAAACAGATCTTATATTCACACATAATAATTTTTGCCTTATAATATTAATTTCTAATTTACAGAAAAGTTACAAAGTTGTAAGCATTGCACAAAGAATTCTTATATGTCCCTCACCAGATTCTCAGTATTTTATATCTTACCACTTTAGCCTTTACTATTCTCTCATGCTCTCTTTTTATGTATATATAAGCAGACCTGCAGATACATACACATATTTTTTTCTGAATCAATTGATAATAAATTGTAGACATGATACCCTCTCACCTTTAAATATTGTGTATTTCCTGAAAGGTAAAGGCACTTTGTTAAATAACCAGAGGATACCCATTAATATCCGTAAGTTAGCATTAATATAATATTATCATCTAATTCACAGACCCCATTCAAATTTCACTAATTACAATAATGATGTCCTTTCCAGGAAAAAAATTCTTTTGCCCTAAGTCTGTTGAGGATCATATGTTGTGCTTAGTTGCATTCTTACTTTTAATGTTCTTCAGTGTAGAATAGTTTTTTAGTATTTCCTTGTCTTTCAGGACCTTGACATTTTTGAAGAATACAGACCAGTTATTTTTTTTTGGATAACCTTAAATTTGAATTTTCTATTTGTCCTTGATGATTCAGGTTTTTCATTTTTACAAGAAATTACAGAAGTCATATTGTATCTGTCTCCTTGTATTGTGTCAAGGAAGCACATGATGTTGAGTTGTCCTTTTCCAAGTGATGTTAACTTTAAACATTTGATTAAGGTATTATCTTCCAGGTTTCTTCATTAAAAATCAGTCCCTTCTCTTTGGTAATTAATAAATATTTGGTGGAGAAATACATTGAAACTATATAAATAACCTGTTCTTCAACCAAGTTTACTTATTTTAGTTCGTTGATGATTCTTACTAGAAATTATCTTTATTGTGATGACTGACAAATGATGATGTTTTCTAAGACATAATTAAGTTGGCATATCTGCTGTGAGGAAGAACTTGTTTTACTCCTCCACTCTGTCTGTCTGTCTGTCTGTCTGTCTGTCTATCTATCTATCTATCTATCTATCTATCTATCTATCTATCTGACATCTTTTATATCAGTATGGACTCATGTATTCAATGTGTTATATGAACAGTTGGCATACTTTCTTGGCAAAGGGCCAGATAGTGTTTTAGGCTCAGGGAGCCATAAGGTCTCTGTTGCGCATAGTCAGCTCTGACATTGTATTGCAGAAATAACCACAGACAGCATGTAAATGAATAGGTGTGGCTTGTTTTAGTGAAACTTACAGAAACAAGTGGCCTGATGAATTTAGTCCTAGGGCTGTGGTTTCTCTGTCTCCTGGGTTGTATCATTATTTTAATGCTCAAGATTTGGCCAGTAGGACCCTTCACATGGATTATGGGACAAATGCCCATAAGTTTTAATACTTTCTTACTTTCTGAAACAAGATGTTTCTGACTTGTCCTACACTTTGCTTATCCCAGCCCTGAAATTAGCCATTTTTCCAAGAAGCCCTGCTTTGCTTGGTGGATATGGTTTTTAGGAACCAAGATCTGGATGTGAGGTGTGCTTCTTGGTTTTTGAATGTCATTGCTTCTACATACTCTTAGTGGACAGATCTAGGAAATGATGTTCCTATCTATGTATATAGGTATATCTCAACTGATTTATCTATATTAAAACCATGAGTTCACAGCAGTACCTTCAATTACAGTCCAAAGCCACATGGCTCAACCTAGCCTCAAACTTTAAGTTTGCAGCTTTCTTCTTCAATAGTGAGAAATCTTGCTTCTATTGTCTTTAATACATTTATATATTTTCTTATTCTACTTTGTAAAACCAGTGTTTTGATACATGCGCCATAACCTTCTCAGCTTTAACAATTGCTAGTCATCTGTAACCATACCCTCAGATTTTAACTCTGTATGGCCCTGTTGTCTCCTCAGCCCCAGTTGTTTCTTTGGCACTGGCCACCCTCCTGACCTCTACTGTCTCCTTGGCCTGACCCTGGAAGTCCTTCCAGACTCACTTGCCTCTTTGGCTCTGTAAGACCCTGGGGATCACCAGAGCCTCTGCTCCTTCCATAGAACCCTTGCCCCTGAGGCCTCACTGGCTGTAGCTACATCAAAGAGAGGGAAAGGAAGAGAACCAGTACATATATTTTAAATGAAAATGACAGGAAAGTGGAATGAGCATTTATTTTTCTTTGTCATTTAAATAATTATTTTACTTTAACATTTTAATGCTTTGAAATTAATTTTTTTTTATATAGTAGAACGTAAGGTTCTAACTTGAAGTATGTAGTTTTCTAAATGACAGCATTTTTCAATACCATTTTAAACAAATGCTTTCTTTTAAGGACACTCTAAAGATAATTTGCATGACACTAGCTTTCGTAGAACTGTTCATGTGTAGGCACTCACCTTGAGAAGTAGGATATTTTTGCTTTGACTATGACTTAACACTTTTGTCTCTTAAATTATGATTTATATAGTTAACTGTAGAAGCATTGAGATATATTAAAAGTATTATAGGACAGGTAATATGTATTTATGGTAGCAAGTGAAATAATACAAAGGTTTATAAATAAAATGTTACTACTCTCCCAGGTAGCCAATGTTACCAGTCTTGTATATCTTTCTACTGCCTTTTCTCTGCTCATACAAACATGAGCTTACTCATGCACACACATAGGTGTTTCAAAGCTTTATTTTGAATATATCATGAACACAAAGTGGTATAATTACATATATCAACGTAATATGTAAACATGTTATAAATATAAATATAAATATAAAATGAACCTCACTTAAACATCACTAAGCTTAAGAAACAGAACATTCCCAATGAGCCTGAATATTCTCATGCGTGATCACCTCTCTTTTCTATTCCCTGTCATAGAAATAACCCCATCCCAAATTTTACATTATTTCTTTTCTTTACTTGGGTGCTTATTATTTTTTTACTATGCTTTGCTCTTTTACTATTTATGTATGTATTACTAATTTATTGTTTAGCTTCTGTATGTTACATAAATAGTGTTATTTGGGGATTTGTTTTTTCATTCAATTTTATATTTGTTAGATAAATCGGTTTGTATTTTATTTTGTAGAAATGGATTTATATCAAGCACAAAGCACACAAATATGTATATATTTCTTTGCAGCATGCTGTTTGTATTGTGCAGTATACAATAAAAGTGATTATTGCTAACATTTGAGTGCTTATGATTAAAATGGGCCTGGTACTAGTCTAATTCCTTTACATATGTTGATCCATTTAATCCTCACAAGACGTCCTATGACAAGCAGTAGTAGTATTCTTACCCTAACAATAAAGAAGAAAACAAACCTAAGGCACAGAGATGTTATAAAACTGGTCCAATTTTATTAATTGGTAGCAGAAATAGAAGTAAGAATAAGGAAATTATTACTAAGGCAGTATCTGTGTGTTTTTGGATGGAATGGGGATGTGATCAGGAAAAGGAATGTGGCACAGAGCTGAGGTCTGGAGCATGGTGAGGGCTTTGGCACGCAGGGCAGGATGGGGCCACAATCAGTTGTTAGATATTCAGGAATTTTATGAGCTGTTTGTTAAACTGTTGGTATCTTGAACTTGAAATCAGATTATTATTAATATGATAGAAATCAGAAATACATAAATGCTCAAAATCAGGACCTCATCCCTCCACTCTGCAGATAATTCCTTTACCAGCATACCAGTGGTTGATGGGTTTCCCTGTCAGGCTACTGTCAGTGTTCAATTTATTGACCAAAGAAGTGTTTATACAGGTGTTCATTTTATGATAATTCATTAAGTTGTTCATGTATGTTTTCTGTACATTGGCAATACTTTACAATGAAAAGTTTTTTTAAAGTAATACCAGTGTCAATAGGAGGAGAAGAGTACTTTGTGCATCTTGGTGGCAGTGGGGCAATAAAAGGTGGAGAGCAGTCTGGGAAATAGGGAAGATGTTTCTTTTATTATAATAGGCGGGATGGATTTTTTGGATAATAATTTGCTTGCAGATGTAATAATCTTCATGTAAATATTAAGTGAATAAGCAGATGCTATAAATTATACATGAAGGGATTATGCTTTTAAAACTTGTCAAGCAGTAGATAAATACTGGTTGCTACAAGAAAGGCTTAATGTTAAAGGATTTTTATGAATCCAGTTTCATTTTTTAAAAGTATTCTTTATTGTATATTATGCATATTACATGTATTGTATTTTCATTTTTTAAAATAATTAGATATTTTGAAATTACTTTAAAATTTGTACATTATGATAGAACTGTTATGCACATTTTAATATTTTATGCTCATTTTCACTTATTGACACAGCATTTATTAAATGCCCTCAATAATATGTATTTTCTGTATACAAGTGACATAGAAGAAATCTGCTAAAAAGCAGATAATTACAATAAAACAGAGTGTCATTTTTTCTGTGCTTTGTTAAATAATGTGTGGGGTGAAAATGGAGAGAGTCCTTAAATGAAGACAAATTTAATTGAGAATGGAAGACATATTGGAAAACCTATTAATGTAATAAAAACAAGAAAGTATTAAAGTATTAATATAAATAGTTGGGGATTATACATTTATAAATGGATATTAATATATTACAACTTTTTAAAAAGTTCTTTTTTCCACAAAATCAGACATTCAGTAAATAATTTGAAGTTGCCAAAAATTTGAACGCTAATTTTTGGATACTCATATATTATTAAAATTGTATAACATTAATATAAATGTTATAATTTAAATACATATAATTATTCAAGAATGCCATAGTATCCCAACATAATTGCATTTAGCTTATTTAATATCTTGTATTTTTTATTTTTACTTTTTTTTTCTGTTTTGTTCTAGATGGTCCCCGGCCATCACAAAAAGAAATTATATCACTGAGGGCATTTATGCTACTTTTTCTGAAACAGCTCATACTGAAGGTAAAATAATTTTACATAATTTAGAATTACAGTATATTAGGTAGAAAGGAATTTCTGGCATGTTTTAAAATTATTATTGTTAAATTAGCAATAGCTACCTTTAAGTGATGAATTGCTTTCAAAATTCTGCACATCTTAGTATTAACTTTTATTGAACTTAACTAACTTCTGGTTAAAGGCTCTCTGAAATCTTCCCTATTAAGGGATGTGACAGAAATGGACAAGGAACATATGAATAAGAATTGAGCCCTTATTCTTATAATAATTGACCCTTATTCTAGAGAATTATCTGTGTGCCAGTTTAAGAAGGCTTACATAATGCATTTTATTGTAGTAGGATGTTTTAAATGTTAAGAGGAAACCAAAGTGAAAATAAAAATAAATTGTGGGATAGTACCCAAAAATTGATACTGTATAGTCTTGCATTTATATTGTTTTAAGGAAAGAGTAAGTGATTAGAAAATAGTCATAAGAATGCTTAGATGGTCAAAATATGCTAACTTTTTATAGTGAATGTCAATCAAATATTAATGACTTAAAAATTGATATGTTTCTAAATATTTACTTAATTAACTTGAAATAATATAGTCTATAAATTGTGAAATGTGTGGGGATTTTAGTTAAAATATCACTATATTAAACTTACTCTTATTTTCTTTTAAAATGATTATTTTGACATCTTTTTTAAATTAAAATTTTAATTTTAGATGTAAAGTAATAAAATATTTTTTAAAAATTAGGATCGAGGGGTCAAGGAAGATGAACTTCAGAGTATATTAAATTACCTACTTACGATGCATGAGGTAGGACATGTTATGGGCCTTTTATTTTAATTATTTAAGCCAATCTTTAGAGTAAAATTTTAAATCAATTTTGTTGATTTATGCAGGATGAAAATATTCATGATGTGCTACAGTTACTAGTGGCTTTAATGTCAGAACACCCAGCGTCAATGATACCAGCATTTGATCAAAGAAATGGAATAAGGTATGATATTACTATTAGACTTTAATGGAGCACAGTTGTTCCTCCTAGAATAACTCCTATGAATATTTGAATAAATATTGCAAAATCTTACACATAAGAGAATAAATGGAGAATGCTGCTATTGATCCTCGAATACTCAGGAAACTGATGAAGTATGTATAAACAGTAGTCTCAGGAATCAAGAAGAGTAATTAAATTGTTTTTGCTATAGTAAGGACATTACAAATTGTGAATAGAGCTTTTTCTTTTTTTCAAGAAGACACAAAAAAGCAAGGCACGTTTTACCAAAAGAGGATACAATGAAATTTTATGATATGAGGCCTGAGAGAGATGATAGCCAGATTTGGAAGGTTCATAGAATGGTAATAACTTCAGTGGTTTTTTTTTTTTTTTTTTTAAGTTGGTGATGAAAAAGAATTTTGAATAGGGGAAATGTTGTGCTCAGATACCTGTTTTGTTAGATTTACAATCACCACTGTGAAACATGAGTTGAAGGACAAACTGACGTAGCAATATCAGCAGGGAGATTATTTTATTCATCTGTATTAAAGATGATAAAGATGACGACCTGAGACAGTGGCAGTGCAATGCAATGGAAATAACAGAGATGAAAGATGTTTTGGAATAAGAGGCCAAGGCCAAAAGAAATTGAAAACCAACTTTTGTTGTGGCAGTTGAAAAGTAACTTGGTAGATAGGTGAAATCCAATTTCTTAATTAGTATTTTTATCAACTTAACCCTATAATTTAGCTTTTTAAGGAATTCTTCTGTTTTATTTTTCTGGAGTTTTAATTAGTGGGATGAGCAGGATATCAAGGTTATATCATGTATAACGCAATGAATTTCCACAGATTTATTGTGAAAAAGAGTTTAAAAAACAGTTTGGAAATAATGTATCAGTGACTGTCAAGGGCTTTTTTAAGTGCTTTTTTTTTACTTGGCCATTTAAATCAATGAATAACAACTTTCTAGACTTGAAGAACTCCTTTTCAAATTAGAGAAGCAATCACTATCTCTGTATGCATATCTCACTTGTGATATCCCTATTACTTTGAGTTTATAATTCATGGGGCTGCCAATCTATTTGAAGAAGATTATACATTTAGTGATTAACAACTGTTATAATTTTTTACTCTTGTTATAATTTTTTACTGTTGATATTTAACTGATTTTACCAAATAATGGCAATTTCATATAGTTCGATCTAATAATATAGTACAGTTACACTCACTTCTGAACTTATATTTAGATTGAATAATTAGTGTCCTTGTCCTTAGATTTTGCTTTGTTTATTATATTATCTAATAAATTTAGTGAATCAGTTGAAGATATCCACATTACTCTTATGGAAGATACCAAACTTAGATTGTCTAATATGATGAAATGCAGAAATATAATTCTATTATTTTGACACATCAAAAATATGATTCTACAATTGAGAGTACTATTTGGTAAGATCTTTAGGATTTACATAGTATTTTAAATGTATGGTACGAAAGAACTGATTAAGCACAACAGATTAAAAGGACTTGTGCTCATGGCTGACCATGAGCAGAGCATGTCAGATTGTCACTAGTGTGTTAAAAACAATCACACAGATTAAAAAACGGCCTTTCCTTGACACTTCAACTTTTCTACTTCAAAAATGTGGAGAAAGCTGGTTCAGAATAGTATAAAAGATGAAAAAAATAGGCTTATTAGATAGAAAATATTGAAAATGACTGAAGCATTTAAATGTCTGTATTCTAGAAAATAGCCATTAAAGGCTAACAGTTGTATATGACGTATTTTGGGAGGAAAATTCTGGTCTGTTGTAATTCATACAATTGAGTTCAGTATAATAGTTGAACAAAAAGAATGAACTCAGTTTAATTCTGATGATATGCTAATTGGGCTTAAGGAAGCCCTTGTGATAACAGACCACTGAACTAAGCAGCCAAAAAATTGGTATTTTTGTATCTGGAAATTTTCAAAGAAAGGAATAGACAACTACGTGTCTTATATAGCTTAGACCATTTGCTGGCTGAATATAGTGAGCTTAAGCAGATGAATTAGGATTATTGTTAATTAGTAATAATGTATATTACAAGTAAACATTCATTAACAAAGTAAATTTCTTATTCATACGGTATCACATCCCTATGTAAGTAGATGTGTGATGGCCCTAGACATTTTCATGTTTCAACATTAATCATAATTTCTCTTGATCCAGGGCAGGGTCTGATACCTTTTTTTCCTGCTACTCAAAGTTATTCCTAGAAAGTAGAAACTCTGTGAGAACTTCTAATTCTATATTTGAGTGTAGCCACATTTTTAGACTGTGAGGGTTTTTTTTTTTTTTTTTTTTTGACAGAGTCTCACTCTGTTGTCTACGCTGGAGTGCAGTGGCACCATCTCGGCTCACGGCAACCTCCACCTCCTGGGTTCAAGCAGTTCTCATGCCTTAGCCTCCCAAGTAGCTGGCATGACAGGCATGTGCCACCACACCTGACTAATTTTTTTTGTATTTTACTAGAGATAGGATTTCACCATGTTGCCTAGGCTGCTCTTGAACTTCTGCGCTCAGGCAATCTGCCCACCTTGGCCTCCTAAAGTGTTAGGATTACAGGCGTGAGCCACCATGCCTGGCCCAGACTGTGAGCTTTTACTCTGGTTCTCAAGACTATTTTTGCTGTTTAATGTTGTATCTTATGATTTCTTGAATGTATTTTTTTTTTACATGTCTGACTTTGCTATTCTCAAACTTGTCTTTTTTCATTGCTGATCTTGGTTCCTAAAAGTTTTGAAAATGGATTTCAGGGTTAACCCATACATATTTATGAATGTGGGATTTGAAAAAAAAGATGTTCCAAAGGAAATGATCACTTTTCTCAGAGTTTATTCTTTAATAGTTTATTCTTTAAATAATCACTTATTCTCATAGTTTATTCTTTTCTCATAGTTTATTGTCATAGTTTATTCTTTAACTATTATTCTCTAATAGTTTATTCTCTAAAAAAGAGAAAAAGAAGCAGTATCACTAACTTCTTTTTTAATAGTATAAGCTCTTCACAAAACTAAAAATAATGAGATTAACTTTAAGCTATTTGTTCTCCTTTGTAAGTATCACTGAAATTGTGAAAATTATATTGTATCTTTTACTAGATTCTCTTGTTCAGCTGAGTACTTTACCTGAAAATATACAATGGCATTTTATTTTTTAAGAAACATATTTAATAAAATAAAGCACACTATAGTGTTTTAGCACCTAAAGAACCTTCTTATATTCTAGAATTAGTTGCCAGTGTATATAGTTGTCATTGTCCCTTCTCTATGGAAACAAATTGCTTTTTTTTAATAGAAAAAATATGGAATAAAATGTCTAAACACTTACAAATATTATAATGAATATGGCCCTACTTGTATATAGTACTTGAAGTGTTTGTATAGGTTAGTTTGTATATTAGTGGAGGCTATTTTGCTCCAAGTAAGAGAAAACCTCTCAAGCTTTTAAAGTAAAAACTGAATAATATATTTGTTAAAAAAAATCTTAGAGTAGGAACCAGGAATTGGAGGGCTATTAGGAAACAAGTTTGCTTTCTCTGCTGCTTTCTGTAAGCTGTTTAATCCTTCCTTCTATATGTTGACTAGCCTTTCTGAACAGAAACAAAACATTGCTGTTCTAGTTTCTGTTTTAAACAGTTGTCAAATTCAAGAGCCCAGCAAAGAGGAGATATTGTTTCTTAGACCTCATTCCAAATTCGCAAAAAGGAGAAATAACTAGGCAGGTGCCTACCTATTGTCTAATTGGTCATACCAAGAAAACAGGGTTAGGGTGCAGTGGCTCACGCCTGTAATTCCAGCACTTTGGGAGGCCGAGGTAGTCGGATCGTTTGAACACAGGAGTTCCAGACTAGCCTGGGCAATATGGCAAAACCTCACCTCTATACTAAAATTAAGAAAAAACATTTTAAAAAAGAAAGAAAATAGGGTTATCAAGTTTAAATGTTGGGGCCAATTCTTAGAGAGAAGAGATGTGGCCTAACTAAGCATGTGTCTTAAAACTGAAAATTGTGTTTAGTATGTTGGGAGGCAGTACTCATGAACACCAGTCACATTGCCCTTTTGAGTGTGTGGTTGAAGGACATGTTTAAAGAAAAATGATTAAAGCATGCTAGTTTTTAATTTTTCCAAAGAATTATAATCCTGAGAATAAAATCTTCAGAGAAATTTTATATTTCACATTTGTATAATCTATTTGTAAAGTATATAGTGTGTTTTTGTTTTTAATATTAGTAAGTTTTTAAAAGATAATTTATGTATTTTTTAGGGTGATCTACAAATTACTGGCTTCTAAAAGTGAAAGTATTTGGGTTCAAGCTTTGAAGGTTCTGGGATACTTTCTGAAGCATTTAGGTCACAAGTAAGTTGATATTTGTCGTAATGCATTCTAGAAATAACTATTGAGATTATGTTATCATGAGTTTTATATGTAATGTGAGATGAAATTTGACTTGAATAATGTAACAGTGGAAAATAATAGCTTTCTGTGATAGAAGTTGCAAAAAATTTTTATAAAATATATTTTATTAATAGTAGATTATGGAACAAGATTACAATTTAAATAATACAGTTTATTTCTATATTCTTCCTAAAAAGAAAGTATTATCTATTCTGAAGATGTAATAAAATATTTTGTCAAGACAAAACGACGCACATATGGGAATGATTTCAAGGAAAGCTTTCTTGACAAGGAAATACCATATATATGTTGAGGTCTTTCTGAGAATTGATCTTATGCTTACCTGCTGAGTCGGTATTTGTTACTAGTTTCTAACAGTAGGGTTTATTGATTAATTTTGTGACTTACAGACACTAGAATACCTCATATCTTTTCCCAAATCCAGAATTTGAATACTTTCTAAGAACACTTTTGGCGTAAGAAACTACTGCTGGCTTAATGGTTGCAATTCATACTACACTATCCAGTGTGTGAATATAGTTTTAAGAGTATATTTTCCTTACAAATGAATCCAAGGAAGTAGTGCAACTATAATTTAAATGCTACTAGATGAGGTTCCTATCAGAACCTCATTGTTAACCTTTTTTTTGTTTTTTTATTGGTGCTTACTTAAACTTGCAGAGCGCTTATTTGTAATAATCATGAAAACTGCACAAAATTCAGATAAGGCATGTCTAACAAGCTGTATAGCCTAGAAGTTTAAATATTTCTAAAATTTCGGTTCCAAACAATAATTAAGTAAGGGAGACTAGATATGCTATGAATATAAGGAATAGTTCAAATAAGGCCAGGATTGTAGAAAAGGATACACACACACACACACACACACACACACACACACATATACATACACACGTACGTGGAACTGTAAGTACACTTGGTGACAGAATACTGGGAATGAAGAACCATATGCTCTTTTTATATTAAGAGATAAAGATCGCTTATTTAACTTCAGTTAATTAAAATAAATTGATTGGACAAAGTTAAAGGATTGTAGCCCAAGATGCAGCCTCCTAAAAATGTCAAGAAAGCACATTAAAAAATTTATAAAAAGATGAAAACTCATTACCAAATTAAAAATAACAAACAATTTCCTGTATAAACATGGTGTTTAAGATGCCCTATTTTCCCCTCTTTTCCTGTAAAATGTATAAATGATACAACAAGAAGTAAAAAATGTACTCTCTATCACAAATATTATCATAAGTAGAAGACAGATGCAAATATATGAACCCCAGAATATGGGTATCAGCTGCTTAAAGTTGCTAAGGTTGGGTAAAAGCTGTTAAGGCTAAAGAGAAAATACGAAGAGTGGTGAGAGAGTTCAGTTATAGCAAATAGGAAGTGTCAGTGAAAGTACAGTTTCTGAAGATGAGAGGCACACCTTAAATTACAAAAATAGATCATTTGTTTGAAATAATAGATATACATATATCATGCCTGATAGCAGAGTTTTTTTTTAATCAGATTGGTTTCAGAAAAGGAGAAGATATATCACAAAGAATTACACAGATGACCTATATGTGTGGCAAGCAGTCTGTCTCTGTAGCTATAGAGAAAGAGAAAGTTTTTGGATTGTGAAAGCAAAAAGATTACCCTTGTCCCTTCTTTTACACATGGTCATGGAAGTGTCCTGCAGACGGATGGTCCACATAAATTAGACTGTATCAAAAGAATTGGCACATCATCAGTGCATGTGTATCAGATAAAAAACATGGAAAAAATAAGTTAAAGTAATCAGTACATGAATAGCACTTAGCAGAAAAATACTGCTATGGAATATAAAGTATTTTGATTTAAAAATTTGCTATCATAAGTTAAAAATAAATAAATAAATACATACATACATAGGTAGCTTCTGAGAAAGAACCACTAAACAGAATTTGGAGAAGTAATCCAGCTACTCAGGAGGCTTACGCAGGAGGATTGCTTGAGCCCAGGAGTTTGAGTCCAGCCTGGGTAATGGAGCAAGATCCCCTTCTGGAAAAAAAAAAGGTTGTAAGAAATGTTAACATAGTGATATGGTTTGGTTGTGTCCCCCAACCTAAAATCTCATCTTGAATTGTAATCCCCATGTGTGAAGGGTGGGACCAGGTGGACATAATTGGATCACGGGGGCAGTTCCCCCCTGCTGTTCTTGTAATAGTGAGTCACATGAGATCTGATGGTTTTGTAAGCATTTGGCATTTCCCCTGCTTTCCCTCACTCCATCTTGCTGCCCTGTGAAGAAGGTGCCTGCTTCTCCTTGCCTTCCACCATGATTGTTAAGTTTCCTGAGGCCTCCCCAGCAATGCAGAACTGTGAGTCAATTAAACCTCTTTCCTTTATAAATTAGCCAATCTTGGGTATTTCTTCATAGCAGTGTGAGAACAGACTAGCACAGATAGCATGGAAGTATTTAATTATGAGCTAATAAAACATTGGACAAATACTGGAGGAAAAGAACTATACACAAAAAAAAAAAATTGGAAATTGCTCAAAGGCAAAACTCTGGCTAGTAACATAGTGAAGTACACAGAAGATAAAAGTGAAAAAAAAGCAAATAATATGAATAGATGAAAACGTGAGTTTAGGATTAGAAAGAAAATGAGCAACATGGGAGAAAAACAAATTACCATAATGACATAAATCGGCCGGATGTGGTGGCTCACGCCTGTAATCCCAGCACTTTGGGAGGCCGAGGTGGGCAGATCAATGAGGTCAGCAGTTTGAGACCAGCCTGGCCAACGTGGTGAAACCCCATCTCTACTAAAAATACGAAAATTAGCCGGGCATGATGGTGGGCGCCTGTCATCCTAGCTACTCGGGAGGCTGAGACAGAAGAATCGCTTGAACCTAGGAGGCAGAGGTTGCAGTGAGCTGAGACTGTGCTATTGCATTCCAGAGCCTGGGCAGCAGAGCGAGACTCCGACTCAGAAATAATAATAATAATAATAATAATAATAATGGCATAAATAGAGTTCCCAAATAAGAAAAGCAGAACAGTGGAACAAAACAAATATTTAAATCTATAATTCAATGAAGTCTTGATGTAAGATTTTGCCATTCTTATTTAGAGGACATATTGTGTGCCAGGGAAAACTGACCTAGAATGATTAGCATCAAGGTGTGTTACTGGACTTAAATATAAGAATACTTTGTATATTAGTGCACAAATAAAGAGAAAAATGAGTCTGGCTTTAGACTCTAAAATAATCTTCAATACAAAAATCTATAACAATCATAAGATACTTAAATGAAGAAAGTGGGAGGCAAACTATCCTTTAAGTAAAAAGAATGCTGTCAAACATTTTTAAGCCATACAGCAAATTATTTCTGTGACTAAATTTTGAGGAAATTGCTGGGAATAAAGTCCAACCAAGTAGGAATGACTGGAGAAACTATTGCTAAGGACAGCTGGTGAGCACTGAATAAATTTATGCTAATATATAAAAAGTAAATTCTGATCTATTACAGTAATACCTACATTTATTTTAGTCTTAGTTTTATGGTTAAAATGAATTGGGAGGGGTGAGAAAAGAAGGAAAGCAGAGCAAGTGCAAAGAGTCAGAATTTCCATGTAAGCGGACAGATGAAATATTACAAATATAGGCCTATTGACTAAAATTTGATGATGTAGATGAAAGGAAAAAATTAAGAGCAAGTATGCTGACATTTACATTTCTCATAGTAGGGAAATATCCTTTTTAAACAGATGTAGGATTACTTATTCTTTCATAAAGAGATAAGCAGTTCTATAAAATTATAGAGCTTTCAAAATATTTAAGATCTGTATGGATAAAACTAAGAACAATATATGTAATGGAACTTTAAAAAATCTGTGAAGATCAGTAAGCATAACATAAAATATGACATATCTAAGACCAGTCATACTGTCATAAAAAATAAATGTAAAAGCTTTTATACATCACCTGTTGTAAGAAAAATATCACAATTGATCACAGTAATAAAACCCGTTCTATACGCAAGAAACACACCAGAAAACCAAAGTGGTTTTGAAAGGTTAAAAGTAAAAGGATGAGTAAAGATTTACCATATAAGCACAAAGAAAGCAGAAAGTAGAAATCATGATTTTAATATTGGACAAATTAGAATACAAGCCAAAAAGCAATAACCATTAGATAAAGAAGAATTATTTATAATGATAAAATAGACACATTCATAAAATAGAAATTACAGGAGAAACAGACAGTCAAAGTTTAAAACTTTAAAACAAACTTTAATTCACCTATTTCAGTCCACAGAAAGCCAAAAAATATCTGGAATGGCGGGTTAAGTCTTCTCATCCTTAAACTTGTGGGTTGATGTATAGGAAGATTGGAATGCTATCATACTGGTTCCAGGGGCTCATGGTGCAGAACTTACAGCTTGCTAAGTTTTATACTACAAGTCAGTAAGTTTAGAGGGTGCTTTGCCTGACACCACCTGCAGCGATCTCATCATTTAAAATACACAGCCATGAGATTTGACCTTGACTCTGTGGATAGTGAAAAATAGCAACTCATCTAAAGGGGCCTACTAGTCAGAGGCAGGATAAGAGAATCATCAAACTATGTACCCGGTGAAGTAGAACTTTGGTGGAGGCTGTTGTGGAACATTTGAATTTCATTTATACAAAGAGCTTTTGAGATTCAAATAGAGTACCAAAGATAATATTCTGCTCTTTTAGCTGATGATTTTTTAACCAGTTCACCCTAATTAGTGGACTTAAGATCTCAAAGCATGGATGAAAAATAGAGAGTGAGAGAAAAGATAAAGCCTTGGAAAGTAAGAGACTTCACATGTGACTATTAAGAGTTCTTAGAAAACTGATGGATGTAAAAACTAGATATCCTGAAACACTTTGATCTACTAAAAACCTAGAAATGTTGGATAAAAATATGTCAATAATCCTGTTAAAT